AATCATAATTTTCGTCAGTGTGCCATATATGATATCGATCATAGTAGAAAATAAATATAAGTCATCTACAACATTACATGTGATATGCATAAATTATGAATTAAGTTTTGAAATACATGTGATTTTATACATTTTAAATGTGTTTTGCTACACGTCATATTTAATTCTATTTTCAATAGCTTTTTCATTGCTTTTTAAATTTTAAATCACATATGATTAAGAAAATAATTTGAAAAAAATGAATGTGATAGATACAATATGAATGTGATGGAAAATATGGTACTTGAATCGATTAGGTTCACGATCATCACATTGTTATATCAACATATTTCAAAATTTCAAATACGTGGGGAGAAAAAGACTCACATTTTTTTGCTCATTCTTGTAAATCACAGGGGTTTTCATTTGAACTCCCAACTATATAACGGATTTGAACCCTTGATCACTTTTAATCACATCCACACCCATGAATTGTTCTTTAGAAAGGAATTGATCTTGTACATCTTGACGCACTTCATTAGTGTTGACATTCAATTAGGATTAATCAAATGATGGAGAATTATTCTAACGTTTCTCACCGTAACTTTCTTTCACCGGAACCCAACCCATATATGCGTAGTTAGTGGATAGTCGACAGTGATAGGTTTAAATAAGAAAACTAAGGACCATTGATCACCTTTAATCTCAAACGCATCCATGAATCGCATTTGATACATGGATTGATCCAGTGCATCTCAACGCATCTCATCTAATGTACATCTAAGGGTGGAGATTCATTCTTACGTTTTCACCTTAGCTCCTCTTCTCACTGGACCATAACCCTGTGTGTGTGTGTGTGGGTGATTTGTTATGTAACCTTCCTAATTGTTACAACCAATACAACCACTTCTTAACCATCCATTATTTTCATCAACAGTTACCATTTGATCAGTAGAAAAATCATCCTTAATTCAAAACCCAAGAAATAAATTAAAAAAATGGACGGTTTTAGATGAGGTCATATGGGTTGTAAGAATAGGAAGGGTTGTATTGATCGGTCCTCTCTATCTCTCTCTCTCTCTCTCTCTCTATATATATATATATAGGAGTGATCAAATAAAAACCGCCCTCATTTGTGTAAACCACCTTCATCCGTCGATTTCATTATTTAATCTTATGAAATTTTTTCATGAAATTGTTTAATCTTGTAAAATTGTTTCATATAATACTTTTTTTGATCAAGTTGTTTCATATATGGTTGTGAAATTGTTTCATATAATACTTAATGAAAATGTTTCATGTATTTCTCTAAAATTAATGAAACTGTTTCATGTATTTCTCTAAAAATTAAAATAATGAAGATGATAATATCTATGATTAACATCCTCCACAATAAAAATGATTAATCAACCTCTCATAATTACAAAAAAATGAACAAAATGAAAAATTATGATTGGTTGAATGAGGTTTGCACGGTTTGTACAAATTGAGTGGTTTGCATTTGAT